AGCGGACACGCGAGCACCGATGATAATGGCGATTGGCGACGCCCGCCCGTCCGTCCGCCACGTCATCCACGATCCACCGAAGATCCACAGAATTACGATTTTTTTCATCAAACCCATTCGTGCCAATGCATCGAATTTTACTCGCCCGACGATGACTAATAATCCCGCTCGCCGTAGATACCAGTCATTTGTGCGATTCCGTTTAATTCAAACTTTCCTACTTCCCGTATGCGTAATATTTTTGCATAATGCACTGGCACCGCGATAGCGTTTTTCTGGAATTACATGATATTCGGTTTTTTCATCGTCTTCAACGTACGTCTGGTATATAATGTACCATATACCGTATATTGTATGTACTGTAGCCATGTTGTAGCTTAAAGAAAAGTTCTCATTGTGTAAAAATGCATTATTTTAAACTTGAATAACTTCTTTTGTATTGGTGATATCGAAAAAATAAAAACGATGTTGCACACTAAATGTTCTCTTGTTCGTGGTGAGAAAATTTGGTTGCTTAGCTTGGACTATACAACTTGTGTGGTTCTGTTACGAGCTAAACAGTTTTTGCTATGTTGTACGTTTGTAAGACGGAGACAACACATGTGTAGGAGCGTCCTTTTAAATAAGTTATCTAGCTATCTAATAAACAAATTATCGTTACAAAATGTGTTATCAGCCTATTGCATTACAATACTTACCTACATTAATATGGGAATATGCCTCACATATTGTAAGGATTAATTTTTAAGTTAATTAGATTAGAATGGAAAGAATGGTCAGTTTTATGTATAGTAATATATTTTCAAGAAACGTGGCATAACAATAATCCTTCCTACCTTTCAACGTTTTTAGATTTATGTTTGGAGAATATTCTTGCAACCAGAGTGAGGTCGTCACTCCGAATACGTCTAAGTTCAATTTGAGCGTGTATGGATATAATAAGGTCTATAAATACGAGGTGAATAGACGATTTTGTGTTGACAATAAAATGTATAAAAAATTGTAATTATTGTATGTATATTTGTTGAATATTATTATTTTCCGTATTGGTTGTAAATGCGTACAGTATACGGTATACCTGATATAAAGACTTGTAGAACCAGTTTTGCACCTCAATAATGATGACTAAATGGACACGTTTCGAATTTTCATACTTGCACTAGTTGCATTTTACAAAACGAATTTGATTACTAACTATTTATTTTATCCTACTGACTGTTTGTAAGTAAACTGTACAAAGTACCTCATTAATTAAAATGTAAAATTAAATAACGATTTACGCTTATATTTGTAAATTATATTTCCAGTTGATTTTGGTTAAATTGACGAGCAGTTAAATTGAACAATATTATTGAGATTGATAGTTCTACGCACAACTCTTCGAAATATGGATAGAAGCCAGAAAAATGTATTTCCTGTTCACCGTTTGTTTTTATGTGGCTATAACTTGTATATATACTGACATTTTATTGCAGTTATTTAAAAATTCTCAAAATTCTTGACTAGCTTTTAATTGGCTGTATAGCTGTATGCCTGTTTAGGTAAATGCATGCTAAAGGTACAACCATTTCACACACCTAATATATAAAACATTTTAAAATTGTGCGTAAAATATAAACTACTTTCGAAATTAATTTATACATTGTTGCTAAGATAAGTAACTAAATTAATTTATCCAATTGCTACCTATACAATTACCCAATAGTTTTAACCTGTTAACTATTGATAGATACGTCAACATAATTTTACTGTGAATTTTGTTATTTATATTTTTAAATGTTATACATTTACATTTTAATCGTAGGCACTGTTGAATATTAACATTGGAATAAAGTCAGTTTGCTTTATTTAAGAGCGCTTCCTACATAAATATAATTATAATTATGAATGCTAAAAAAATTAATTTCGCGTATTACATAATATCAGAATATATCTTAGTTTTAAGTTTTAATTAGCTTATATTCACGGACCACGGTAGCTCAGTAAAATCCAATTATTGTACAAATAAATTAGTATTATGACGTATATTGTGTACAGTATATTAGCCACTAGGCGGTATATATGAAAATCTTCTTGATTCAAACTTAATAAATTATTTAAAGAATTTTAAATGCAAACCGGTTAATTTTCATGAGTAGTGTTTCAGTATAGTGAAAATAAAGTAGGTACTTATATATATATATATATATATATATATTATACACTACACGGGTACATAATATTTAAGGCAGTCAGATGACGGTCAGTCTATAGAAGATAATATTTTACCTTATTAAAAATAAAATAAAAATACGAACATGTTTAGATGCATTTATACGTGACTTAATATGGTTTATTTTATAATTTATAATTTTATTCTTATGATACAACACACTATTTTAACTTTTCAGTAAAACAAAAATGCTTATACAATTATTACATAACTATACAGGAAGGAGCAAATTGTAACATATTGACTAAATTATGTTTTTTAAGAAAACATTACTGATTGTATGGTTTGTTTCCGTGGTTACCATATAATATAATCTCTGTATTCATATTTCATTTAAGTATTTGACTTTGTCTTCAGAATGATTTCAAACTACATATTGAACTATTAAAACCTGTCTTCTTGCGTATATAATATAGCATATATATCTACTCTATAATTTATAGGTACCAATATTAAATATTTAAAATTCAAATATAGGTACATATAATTATTATCAGTTGCATTAGCTGACATTTTTGCATTGGTATCAAACATCCAAACAATTTTTAAGTACCTATTATCTTTTCTGTCTGTGGGTGTGCGAAAACAAATAAAATTACATATTTATTATTTATATATATTGCCAACTTGCACATGATACATCGACGGATTTAGACAATAGACCATAGCGTTGTACTGCTACTCTATAATTTAAACAAAAGACACAGAAGAAATATACATAGTACATCAATTTATTGTAAAAACGTAAAATATCTGTTAGAAAGAAATTCAACATGTATTGAAGCTTATACATGTTGTGAAAGGCACAGCCCCAGTATAACACATATATATGTTATGAAAATATTGAATTACCTATGATACCATAATATGTTTGTTGTTTATGGTATCTACTAATGAATAATGGTTAATGACAAATTGACTAATACATTTATATTTTACATACAACAATGTATAAATGTGAAGATTGATTTATATTAAAAAACTTAAACTGAAAATCAGGAACTCGCTTTCCTGTAGGTATAATTTAGGTTACGTTAGGGTGTACCTTGTTATTGAATAGGTCACTGAAATGGATGTGTTGAATTTTTAATTCAATGTTAAATCATTGCATGTACCGAAAACGATTTGGATGGTCTGTCAGCCTTTATTACTATAGTATATTTTATTATTTGTACTATGCCTATATTGTATATTGATATACCATACAGTAGATTGAATTATTTTTTTGAAAAAAATAGCATTTATTTTGTTATTAATTATAATAATTGTATTAATCAATACAACATTACAACATATATTGATATTACATTTTGAGTCGATATACCAACTTTGAATTTACCGTAAAATGGTATGAATATATGTGTGGTATTCCGAAATAGGTATTAAAAAAGGCTTAAAGTTGATATAAATATTTTGAAAATGTCATTGTTTACTTATAGAGTATAGGTATAGAAAAAAAAATAACAACAAGCTTGGCGCTAAACTATTTTTTTAGTAATAAATTATGAAGAATGTTTTGTTAAATGTTCAAACTATAATTTTACATAAAAACAAATATTTTATCGTACATATAACGAATAAAATGTCTAATATTTTAAATATCTATAAATTTGCTAAAAAATAACCAATATATTTTGAAAACTATACCATGTCTCATGTCTGTACCAAATGTTAATATGAATATTTATAAATATAAAATGTCTAAAATTAGTTGAGTCCCCAAAACTCTACAAATCCCTACTAGATCCATTTTTCTACCAAAAATCACACTTAACGTTGAAGATTAAATAATTTCGACTGCTTAAAAAAGTGATAACAGAAAAAATTAAAACACATCTTTATAAAATGTGCAATACATTAACTGCTCCGCCCAGAATCAGTAAGGTCTGGTTTGGATTTACTGCTCAACTGTACGTCGGTTATTTATCAATTATCATAATTTAGTACTGCAGTATTTTGCAACTATATATTGATTTTTCTAATCGTATCACAATGGACCAAAAGATGAAAATAGTATATTCAATTATAATAACTGATGTGAGCGAGTGGTGCAAGTGTACAACTATCATGCAAGAGGGTTAGAAGTGCCGATCATCGGAACCCCAATATGGTAATATTATAGCTTACATCAGGGACACAAACTAACAATAGTTTATTTTCGTATTTGATAATAAATGTCACAACAAATATCCAAATCATAATAGTTTGGTATACTTGTGTAAAAAATTTCAAGAAATAAGGTCCAATACTTTAATAGTAAATCATTAATTATAATAGCATGCTCGACACCTACTGTACTGCAGAGCGGTATACCTACTTGACCATCATTTTTTTTTATGTACTGCGAACATGTCCCCGACGACTTATCGCATAGAAAATTCGAAAACAGACGTATCGTGATAAATTTATAATGATAATGTTAACATAATAGTGTATATTAGTGCAATAGTGCCTTAAACTTATGTACCTTTATAATACAATAATATAGGGAACAATGTTTTATGTTTAAAATGACGTGCAGTGACGTATTGGGGGGACACCGCGCCTCCTATATGTGTCACACGCGGTGTTAATAACACAAATAGCTACTTCCGATACCTATATCTCCTATTTTTACTTTACACTGGATAAACCTTGACTGCAGCATTAGGACTTTTAGAGTCCACAGATTTTAGATCCGAATATGGAAACGTCGGATGTATCTCTCAAGTCGTAATGTGCGCGCACACACACACACACACACACACACACACACACACACACACATAAACATGCGTGAGCTCTCGTACAATATTCTATACAAACAGTAGTCGTATATTCATGTCGCATGTACTTATACTGGCTATACCGCAGGTAATAATTCTGTATTCTGTATACACACACGTATAATGTATAATATAATATATTGTACAATTGGCGGAGAATTAACATGGCCGAGGACAAGCGTTTGTTCTACATGAAGTTACTTTTGGAACGAAGAAAACCTTCATGGTATGATTGCGTTACTACCTATATACCTAAGCTCGATCGCCTATACTGCGGACCGACGGTGCAGCACAATGAACTCTGTAACTATATTATATTATAATAATATTATATGTGCAATGAGACGATTTTGTTTGATTGGATTTTTGTTACCTATATATAAGTTATATATGTTTGGACTCGGGGGTTGCTCAAATTGGTTTTCGTACAACAAATAACAATGCAGACTGCTCAATTTAGATGTTTGCTACTGAGTGTGTGTGTGCGTGTGTGCGCGCTCATTTACAGAGAGTTAGGTAGTGTATACACTTTTGTCCTCTTCGTTCCAACATGGATATACGAGATAGACAAATTCAGTGTACTGCAAATACTGAAACTTCATGTAAGTATAGTGATGTATTGTATTGTACATATATTATTTTACACGATATTGGTAAGTACGGAACGCAACTTTTGTGAGTTGCACACAATGTTCGTCTTTATTCGTGAAAACATTTTTAAATTTAAATTTTGACATTAGCACGTTTAATCTAAACTTCAACCTCATGTTCTAAATACTTGCAGACTTAAACATATTACAATTTAAATAATTACACTATAGAATACGTCAATTTATATAAAAGTGACAAATTAAATAACGATGAGTTAATTCATTGTGGTTTTTATTTTGAAATTTAAATAATATTGTTCAATTATCAATAATATAAATATTAAGCTATCATAACATAATACATTAACTGCAGTAGTCTCTGTATGACATGTACATGTTCTACCAAATGACTAAATGAGAAAATAGATTTTTTAAAAATTATTCAATAATAATACATTACGTAATAGCTTATAATTGGTACATAAATATTAAAAAATATGTTTAGATCTTTTTTTTTCTTGTTATCGAGAACCGGAGGGAGGAACTGGTGTTGGCATTGCTTCTCCCCCGGTCCCCATCGTTTATTGTGCAGAAAAAAAAATGTTTTACAGCAATAGACATCTAGGTTAATTCATTGCAGGATAATATAAACAAATTACTTTACTATTTAGTATTTATATTTATATTTACATTATCCCAGTAAAATATACATAAAACGTTTAAGTAAAATCAATATTAAACGTCTATTATACGTAGGTACTTATTTAACAGCTTACCTAATGCTTGCAACACATAATTGAAATTAATAAGACATTTCTCTTAAAAAAATCCAAGCGAAGAAATACGCAGATAGTTGAAAGGGTAATGGAATTTATACAAACAATGATTTTGTAAATACTAAATATATATCCTATAAGCGAGTCCGTATGGGAGGGGCAGAGTGGGCAGCTAACCTAACCTACAGCCTAAATTTTTTTCTACAAATATGGAATATTGATTGGAAACATTCGAAGAAATTATATCTTGAACGATGACTGATAATAGTAAATTATCTTTAAAAATACAAAAACAATTTACCACGGATTATGCTCCCGAAAATTCTGTCTATGCCAGCAACGCCTAAAATTTTCAATTTAGACTATTATATAAATTGTTATATATAATACTTCACAAAAATTATTTTCTACATTAATAATGTAATAAACACATTCTGCTTTTGTTTGAAGTTCTATAATATAACCAATTTTTATTTATATAAAATAATAAAACAATAATATTATGTATCAATTTTTTTTCAAATATAAATATTAATTGGGTTAACCAACACTTCAATAAAAATGATAGCTGTCCTCCAAAATCATTAAAGCACGTTATATTATATTTCAATGTATGTGTACCAGGAAAAATGAACTAATAAAAATAGATAAATATGTATCTAATTGATCATTATTATTAAAAATTAATCTCATATTTTAAATTATTATAATATGACTAATATTTGGACTCAGCATATGAAATATTTGTTATTTACTTGATTATATTCGTTAGTTTTTAAACCTGGTACTTATTTTAACCATAATAAATAATAATGTAATGATGGTATTTATAATATTTATAATTGCGGAGGATTCATAGCTAATGATGAATTCTAAGTACCATGATATTTTTGTACATTCTACATATTGTAGTCATAGAAAGTAAGTTAAAATAAACAACTAAACAATTAACATTGAAAAAAAATCTCAAAATAAGCTTTCTTTCATAGATTCGATTATGAATATAACTTACCGTCCTGTATTTAAAATTGTTTGATACAACATTGCAATAGGTAATAAATGAATTTGAATATTGTCAACAATAATTATTATTTCATAATAATAATTAATATAAGATTTAAGTTCTGCTACTGTTTGATATGCATGTGTTGCACGTATAATACCTGTTATATTAGGTATGAGTTTTAATTTTTAATTTAAGATAGCACTATATAAAAACCCTAGATTAGTGCTTAAGTAAATATATAATTCAAAATAGAGTTCAAAATATAGAATATATTTTCCAATAAAATACGAAATATATTTTTAAATAAATACAACGTATACAGCTTACAATAGTATTAATTGTCTTGTTAGGTTATCTAAATAAATAGATGTCAAAATAAAATATTTTACATAGTTGTTATACAATTTATTACTGTCACCGCCCTTTATGCACGGTAAACTGAGTAATTGTAATCTTTCAAATAATACTAACTTGTGAGATACCTTGTAAATTATTTGAAGAAAAAAATGTTTAATCGTATTTCCTAGGAACATAAAATGTTCATAGATTTATATTATAGGTACGATAACATTAAACAAAATATTTTACCATGTTAGGGCTAGCTGTATACGAAAATAAAATAATTTTTCTTGTTTTCTTTTTAAACAATTTTTGGTTTGAATTCCAAAGAAATGTTGAAACTAAATACCTATACAAGCTTAGCTATATATTAATATATTATTCTATTATTTTAAGTACAGAGTAGTTATGATAGTTTTTTTATTAAAGTTTATGTTTGAATAATCACGAATTGTATTCATTTTTAGTATTTTACACGCTATGCTGTTATTATCAACAATTTTTTTTTTTATAAAAATTTGTAATACATTTTGGTTTAAAGTACCGAAATTAAATATAAGATTATTTGTTTAATAACTATAAAATATAACTACTATTTTATGAATTTATGTTCAATTATTATTGTTAAACTTTACATTATGTTTGTTGTTTTGGATTCATAAATATCGTTTTATAAATGCAGTTTTTCTATGAATAGCACTCATTTATGTTAAATTATTATTTTAATTTTTATAGTATTTTGATAAATATCAATAATTATAAATTGATAATTAATATTGAAGTGTCATGTTTGATGTTTATTATATTCGAGTATTGTATATTACACATACACAATAATTTAGTTGGTTTTAATTGTATGTGTAACATATATTTAGTATTATCATAACTGACAGATGATCACAGTGTTATATTATTATATACCAACTTGCAACTCGAAATCAGTCTGAATACTGGTTAGTACTCTAATGAGTAATGAATAATGAGTTAACATAAAATAAAATTAGGTACTCGTCATTCTAACGTTTATCGACTGGATGACCCGACCAGAACAGTAATCAAAATAATTTTTAAGCCTGTACGACATATGAATGATGATGTAATATTTTATTTCCAAACAGTATCTATAGAATCATACATAAAAACTTTTCCTGGACAATTTTATTATCAACTGAAAGATATTATTTAGGAGTTTTTTTACTTTTACCAATATTAAAGTACTTTGCATATTACTTTATTAATTGTCAATTATTTTGACATTTTATTTCGTTTTGATATGAATGTGTGAAATCACTCATGTGAGTTTAAAGTAACAGTATACATATATGATATAAGCCTTTATCTATAACAATTATTTACAAATGAATATACTGTGACTGGACATCAGATTAGTGGTAATATAATATATATATATTATGCCATATAGGCTTATTATAATATTGAAATTCTATGGATCATTCATTCCAAAACGAATTAGCCGTGTTCTGTTTCCCAATAACGGAGTTGATGGTTTAACCTTTCGTATGACAACCAATCGAGTAACTTTATTTCCTGTCATTATTTTTCAAATCTAATCCACATATAGTTTCCCTTCTAATAGGAAAACGGATATACACTCCTACAATAATCAGCAGTCAGCACGATAATGCATGAATATTACATATAGATTGTGGAAGTTGGCACTATATAATGTATATAAATTGTCAAATACAAATTATATATTATGCGTAGTTTAAAGACCCATATTGGTGTGACAGTATATTATATTGTAGGTATATTGAATTATCCTTATATTGTTAGAATAATTAGCACTTGTTAGTTCTTTATTTAGTAGGTATAATAAAACTCAAATGCATGTAATAATTATTAATACGTCACACAAATGAGTACTTACCTATAACTGTATTATATTATGAATCGTATTTAACAACAATAGCTATATAAACAAAACAAAGAAGTTTTATAAAATATCTATGGAGGTTTTTAAATAAGAATGAGAATTTCATGTTCTCAGAAGTGGAGGGATGAATGTATTGGCTTTACACTAAATATTAATGTAGTTTTTTAAATTCTGAGCGAAACGATGAATGTATTGATTTAACAACTATGCTTTTTTTTAGTATTTTGTAAACACAAATTTATGAAATGTTCAATTTTTATAAATAAGGCTTGAAAATTTAATATTACATTTTTCATAAGTAGATCTTACTGACACCTGAAAATCTAAAAAATATATATGCACAATTTTTTTTAGACATTTGAAGTTAAAAGTTGGATATAATTATGTATGTAAACAAAGAATACCAATAATAGTTATTTTGTTGTAATTTAGAAACATTCTTTTGATGTTGAAACTTTTACTTATACTATTTTATTTTTGTTTATATACTAACAATGACTCTCCCAAGACATTTAGATTCATTTTAAGCTATTGCCAGTTTTTAACACTACTACACGAACCTATACTTCACATATTTCTACCGTAAGACAGTATTGATTCAAAAACTAATAACAATTGTATATGATATTGATAGAAATAAATATTATTATAATAATTAAGTATTAAAAGTATAATAAATGCAATGTTTTCGGCAA